AGCCTCTTTTTCCCCCGGGCAGCGCCCGGGGGCGCAGGCGGTGGGCCCCCCCCAGCCGTTGGCTCCTGTGCTTCCTGCTGCGGGAGCTGCCCCCGGGCCAGCGCGGCAGGGCAGGCAGAGCCGGGCGGTTGGGGACGATCGTTTCAGAGAGGAGTTGCTGAAACTCTTGGTCCCAGTTGCAAAACAGCCCCTGGTCGGGGGCTCGGGGCCCCGTGGCTTGGGACAGACATTGGCCCGATCCCCTGCCAGATGCAAGCAGAGACCGCGAGTTGTACCACAGCGTGGTGGTGGTGAAACACTGTCCTTGGCCCCGGTCGCTCCAGAGCGGGTTAATCAGCAGCGACCCATGTTAGACAGGGTTTAATCACTGGGTCCAGAAAAGTTATCTCCAAAGGTGCGAGAGCTGTCGGTGACATGCCTGGAGGATTACAGCGGATGTCCAGCGGCTCTTGCACCCGTGGGAGGCCCCAGGAGGTTGGGAGAAAGCTCAGCCTGTGCTAGGGGGAAGAGGGATGTAATGATCGTCCTGACGGGCAGAGCAGGGTCCTGGCGGCTCTGGACATGACAGGAGGGTAGCAATAACGACTGATGACGAGGGGGTCTCTCTGGACACAGAGGTTTTCAAACTCACACGAGTTCCTTTTGGAGAAGGTGACAAGGCTGGTGGGTAAGGAGAACGCAGACACTTGGGCAGATCTCGACCAGGTGTTTGATCTGATACTTCGGGGTGGTCTCACAAAGGCACTGGCATGATACAGATTAAATGTGAACGGGTGATGGGGGAGATCCTGTCCGACCGGTCGGTCTCCACATGTCACGTGCATTTTTCTTGAGCAGACGAGTTGCTGGAGGGGTCCCAGAGAGACGTGGAAGCTGGTGAACCAGGGGAAGGACGGGAGCTGCCAGAGGCAATGCACGTGGAAGAGCTCTGGACACAGACGGAGACATGCTGGGCACGCAGACCAGGTACACAGCTCTGAATGCAGACAGAGACATGCTGGGCACACAGACCAGGCACACAGCTCCAGACACAGGCAGTGACATGCTGGGCACACAGACTGGGCACACAGACTGAGCACACAGACTGGGCACAGATGGAGACATGCTGTGCACACAGACTGGGCACACAGGTGGAGACACACTGGGCACACAGACCAGGCACACAGATGGAGTTAGGCTCCCCGGGACACTGGCCTGGGAGGCAGGGCCGGGCATAACAGCCTTGAACCCGGGCTGTCCCTCGCAGGGGGTGCCCCCAGCACCGAGCTGCCGCGGACTGTGCCCCCCTCCCCGGTGCTGACCGTCGCTTGTGCCCTGGGCCCACGAAACCTCTCCTTGCACGTCTCCTTCACACTCATGTATTTCTGCGCAACGTTTCTGTTTGGTGAGCCCACGTTGTCCAAAGGAAAAGCCTTTTCGTTCCCAGCTCCCTCTGCTCGTCAGACACGGTTTCCCAACACGGGCAAACGGACGCACCGTGCTTCTGCCCCAGGCAACGGCTCAGACTGGCACGGCCCCCGGGAGGGGGAGGACGGGGGTTACTGGTCTGGAGACGAGGAGGCCGAGAGGGGATTCACTCACAGGCTTCAAACACCTGCAGGGAGGCTCCCAGGATGCTGGTGACAGAGCATCGCCTGCGGTCACGGGGACGGGAGGAGGAGGAATAACAGACGGCAGCACAGGAAATGCAGGACGGATTTTGGGTGCCCTCTCGAGCGCAAGGGTGTCCAGCAGTGGAGCACGTTCCCCGGGGGCCCGCGGGACTGGTGTCCCTGGACGGGAGACAGAGCCGTGGCTGGGGGGCTTGGACGGGGCTGACGCTGCCTGGAGCAGGGCTGGACTAGACGCGGCCTCGGGAGATCCCTTCCAGCCCAGCCCTTGCCGGAGTCGCGATGGGGAGGAGGGAAGGAAGCCTGAACGCGCATTGCCCTGGCGCTGTCTCTCTCCTTACGCTGACCATTGCCTAGACGCCTTCTTGCCCAGGCGGGGAAGAGGCGGCTGCCCTGGCACGCACTCTTTCTTAAGCCCCTTCGCTGCCCACCCGGGCGGGCAGCTCAGCTACGGGCTTGCCATGCAGATGGGAGAACTGGGCTCTGTCCCCAACACGTCCGTGTCCCCGTGCGGGGCCTGGACACCTATTTCTGTGCCATCCCGGGGCAGGGAGCAAGGGGCTGCGTCCCACCCTGCCCTTGGGAAGGAGCCCAAGTGCCAGAAACGCTCGTGACCCACGGGCTTGACCTCGTCATTCAGGGGATGCTCGAGTCTGGCAGTTTCCAGTGCACGTCCTGGGCGCTTGGACACGGCGTGCACTGCTACATGCACACGAGGCAGTTTGCAGTTTGATCCTCTGACGATGTGCCAATGGCCCTGTACGGAAATTTTAAAAAATCTTTGCTCCATCCAAAGAGTCAGGTCGTTGCTTTGTCTCCCTTTGGGGTGGTGGGGTCCCTGGAAATGGGTCTGGCCAAGAGGACAGGCCCGGGGCCGACTGGGGGACCGTCCATACTTGTTTGCGGGAGAGAAGGGATACACCGGGGGGGCGGGAGGATTCGGGGTGTGCTGCAGGAGATGGCCTGCTCAGCAACGACAGCAGTGCCCTGAAGAGAAAAGCCGCTGAGCTTCCTTAAAAATTGCGTTTTTACTTTCCCCGTGTGTGCCCTGGGTTGCAGAAGTGCTGGCGACTTCAGAGCATCCGAGTGGGGAAGTGGTGGGGGTTGCATGTCTCCGGGTTTGATTTCCTGCGCTGTATGCGAAAGGATCAAATGGGAGGGTTTGCAGGGATGTGGGGAGGGGTGGCTACCAGCAATGGGGGGCGGGGAGGGGCAGAGCGGCACCCCGATAGAGCTGGGCTGTTCTCATTACAACCGGTGTTCTCGTGGGGTGTTATCATCCTGCTGTCATTCAGGGATAGCACTCCAGTGTCGTGATGCTAACGAGGCAGGTAATCACCACTCCTATGCGCACAGGAGAGAAGTGCTAGCAAGAAGGACCATGATCCACCTTGGATGAACCAGTTGAAACCCCGGCCCCCCAAAGTGACCATTGTAAAATTGCTGCTGTGCCGCCAAATTGACCAAGCCGCTCCATTTCTCGGGGAAGCACCTGAAAATGCTTCACTGATCGGCAGAAAGGTTGCGGCAGGGAGAGCACGCCCATGGACCACGGGGTCCAAGCCCCCACATCCCGATGCCTGGATGTGGGGTTTATGCTGGCTGCTGTGCAGAGGAGAGGATTTTTGGTACTGCAACCAAAAGCTAACCTGTCTCACCCCAGGTCCCCAAAGTTGACAAGGCTCGGACATTTCTAGGGGAGACGACCTGAATGTGCATTGGTGAGCGGGAGAAAACTGGGGCAGGGGAAGGAGTCTAACCCAAAGGCTCCCGAAATAACTAACCCAACTCAAATTACTTTCCAGAACTGCCCCTGCTGTGCTTAGGAGACGGTCGGGAGGGTACAGTCGTTACGAGGTGCCCTCTAGCGTCTTGTACTAGTAAGAGCACGTTAACCAACGATGAGTGTTAAAAGCGTGATGTGCAAAATAGTAACAGGCATCCTCATGGTACACTGCAAGAGTGAAAGACACCCAGAGATTATCTTCAGGTAGGAAAAGCCAACGCAGTGTACAAGCGCCCCGTGAGCAGTGCATGAATGCCCTGAGGGGGCTGTGCCAGGTGCCACTGGATCAACGGCCCGGCTGCTGGGACTCGTGCAGAGGATTGCTTTTATCTCACGGTCACTGCAGCAGCGCCAGAGCCCTGATGCTGGCGTCCAGGGCCAACGTGATCCAGGCTGGCGGGTAACAGGCCAACCCCAGGGACAAGGGCTGAGCTGGAGACACCAGAGGACACATCTCCTGGGCAATAGCCATGAAGAGATGCATCGTCCATAAATGCAGCAGTCGATGTGCACAGGTGTCCTGCCTGGGCTGGTTGCTGGAGGCCTCAGACACGACGGGAAAGGATCGCCTGGGTCCCTGAGTCCCGTCACCGGTGTCATGGGGCACATGTGAAGTGCAAAGAAGTCCCCACTCTGCACCCAAAGCCCCTGTCCTGCCCCGTGGGGACGGGGACCTTCACTACAATCAAGCCCAGAGACGTCCAGCACTGCAGGGTTGCAAAGGGACAGACCGAGAACCCAGCCCAAGGTCTCTCCTACGATGGCAAGCAAAAACCTTGGCGCTCGTGCAGGACAAGCAGCCCCACGTGGTGCTTCTCATGCTTTATTCAGGCAGGGGCGACTGTGCCCGGCAGGCTGCAGAGACAAGGACACAACACGTGTGCTCGGGGGTGCTCACGGCTGGCCACACGCAGGTGAGGGCAGGGTTCACACGTGCACGCCCGTGCAGTGGCACGGCAGCATGTTGCAATGGCTGGTGTTGGGGAAGTGGAGGCAGCCAAAAGCGCAGGGAGAACGGGCCCTCGCCAGCCCCCAGCAGGTCCCGTCCAGGCTGGGATGGGGCTGGGGAAGGGACTAAACACTCGGGGAGACGTGACACCCATGACACCGGCACCTCCACCCCAGCAGGCACTGCGGCTTCCTCTGCACAGTGCCGCGCACCACCTCTTCCCCGTCCGTGCCCGGGCACAGCACCCTGTGCTTGCTCACTGTTGGCCAGGGGCCATGGGGGCCAATTTTCCTCTAAGCTACTGCATCCACCAGCCCTTAGCTGAGCTCCCCCCGAACCACCCGGTGCTGCGCCAAGCCCTGGGGTAGGAACGGGCGCAGCCAGGTGCCAGGAAGCAGAGGAGGTGGGAAACAAGGCTGTTTGCTGCTTGTCCCTCTTCTGCTTTCCGGGAGAAGAGGTGGTGCCGGCCACTGGTGGAGACAGGATGTGCCCCCAGCCTGACGTGGTCCACGGGGCCATTTCCGTGGGGGCGGGGGGGTCATCTAAAAGCCACGAAGCAGCAGGGAGGAGCAGGCGGCAGCCAAGTGCGAGTGGCAGAAGCTGGTGGGGGATGCCTGGCCTCTCCCCCCTACCCCACGGGTTTCTTGGTTATGGGTAATGACATCGGGGTTTCCCGTCCGATCCAGGTGCCAGATGAAGGGTGAAGGATGAAAGTTTCCCAGGTCTCGGTTTGGGCTTGGCAGGGACATGCTAGAGGGAAAGGGGCATGTGAGTGTCGCGGCCGCAGGGCTGCTGCAAACTCCCAGGTCCTGCAGCCGTGATCTGTGGCTGGTGACTGCTCCGGGAGAGCATCTCCTCCCGCAGTACAATGGGCCCATCCCGGGGTCCACAGCCCAGCCCCGCAGGCCGGCACCGTGGAGCTCAGCGCAGGAGATGCTGCACCTCTGCAGCAGGGCTCGGCTGCGGCCCTTAGTGACCACTTGCTCCTTGTCCCGGGGCAGCTGCATGCCCCGTCCCCAGCACCGGGCTGTGCCCAGGCTCAAACAACCCAGCGCGGAGCCGTGGATGGACAGCGCAGCCCTGCCCATCCCTTCCTGTCCCTGGGCGCCCAAACGGGGACCTACCTTCCCCGGGCTCACTGTGTTGCAGGTGATGATGGAGGTGGGCGACTTCTGCTCCGTGGAGAACAGCCACGTGCAGTTCCTGACCAGCTGCGGGGGAGAAAGCAGATCCCGGGGGCATCAGCGCAGGGGGATTGTAGGTGGCAAGGGAGGGGGGTACAAATCTGGCCCATGGGCCGTGTCTAAAGCGTGGTGGCAAAGGCCATGCAGGAAGAGGATGGGAGAACAGGCAAAGTTTAATGGAGAAGTGGGGCTGGAAGGGACCTCCAGCACTCATCTAGACCCAGCCCAGCTTGAGGCAGGATCAGCCGTGTCCCAGGGGCTGGGTGTGTGGGGTAGGGACGGGCCCGGGGGCTTGCAGCAGCCGGGGGTTCGGGAGCAGGGGGACACTTACCCCGTTGAACTTTAAGTTGCACTCACTGGCTGGGTGGTTGCTGGCCTGCGGGCACACAGTCTCACAGATCACAAACCGCACCTCCTGACGTGACTTGGATGTTGTGTCCTGAGGGGCATTGGAGCAAAGACCAGACTGAGCTTCCCCGGGAGAGCAAACGGGTCTGGTCTTCCCCAGCCCGCACCCAGCACCAGCCCTGCCCCTTCCCAAAGTTGTCACCAAAATCCATCCCGCATTTTTGCTTCTTGTATCAGTGAATCACAGATCATGGGGGTTGGACGGGACCTCAGGGGTCCCCTAGTGCAACCCCCTGCTCCAAGCAGGACCAGCCCCAACTACACCATCCCAGCCCTTCCCTGGACCATCACACTTGGGACCCTCCAACCCTCTTACACAGACAGCCAGACACTTTTCGGCTGTATTTTTGCTCCTCCTTAACACATCCAAAGGACAAGCTGGGTTGGCAACCTCCCTTGGAGACTGGACAGGCAGCCAGCTCCGTGTGCTGACCCACAGCGCTCTAGGAGGGAAGAGATGCTTTCAAGGCACTTGGAGCCGGATGTCCCAGATCAGACGTCCCCAGGCTAATCCTAACGCCTGCCCTGCGCTGAGGACCGTCTCCAGGACAGGAGCGAGCTGGTGACTTACCCACACGGGCTGTGGTTCAACACAGAGGAGCTGGAAGGTATGGTCTATGCCCGGCTGTTGGTTGTAGAAGTCGACAGCGAACGACGCGGCCTCTCCGTAGGTCAGCATCTTGCGCTGAGAAGCCGAGGCAGCCGCCACGAGCGTGGCCAAGACCAGCAGCACCCTCCAGCCCCAGCGCCCCATCCCTGGGCGTCTCTGCTGCGCGGTGCCTCGTGGTTTCTCGCTGCACCCCAAGCTGACGGGCGACTCGCTGCGTCTGCACTGGAGCTCCCCAGGGGCTGAGGTTTTCCTGCTCTTTATAGGAACTGGCCCTTGCTCAATCTGCCCAGGCAGGTGCGGCTGAGCAGGGCGGGGGTGTTTAGTGCTTCACGCCTTGCTCACTTGCCGTGTGCAAAGGAGGAAGGATGTGCCCCTGGCACCTCTGCGCCCTGTGGTTCATTTACTGCCGGGCCTCGAGACTGTTGCACTTTGCACATTGCACATGCCATGCGTGGCATCACAGCTGAGTGCGAGGAGTGGGGGCCGCGGAGGAAATCAGCTGGTGACTCTTGTCTGTTTGTGCAGCGCCCGACACAATGGGACGCCACTGCTAGCATTGCAAAGAGCAGCTGGCCGGGCCAGAGCCCTGCCGTGCGAGGCACGGGCCCTCCTTTCTCTTCGGGTCGTGCTGAGAGTCGACTGACATCGTGGTTTGGACAGTCCTGGCCCTGCCTCGGGCAGTGGTTGGACTAGATGTGACCTCAGGACGCCCCTCCCAGCCCCACTTCTCCATGACTCTCTGACTTCATGGATCACTACCGTCCGCCTGATTCCTGCTAATCTCTCTCCGCTCCACAGGTGTTAATGCCCCCCTCTCTGTCTTAATGGTCTTGATTATCCACTCTTCAAAGTACCCTTCCTTCTCCAGTGTTGCTGCCTGTCAGCCGGTCCTGGGACCATCCCTCTTCCATTGCACAGCCCTGCAGACTGGGTTGAGCTCTCGCTGTAAACCTTCACGTATACGTGGTCGCATTAACTCAGGGGTAGACGTGACTGAGAGAGGAGCATTGGAGGTGTTAAGCAAGAGCAGCGATGCAGGTCATTAGCCAAGGTGAAGGCAGGGCAGAGCCCTATCTGAGCAGTGCCCCCAGTGTCGGGGCTCCCTGGCTCTGCCTGGCGTGTCCCGAGCCCCACTTTTCCGCTCCTGGTGTTAGAGAGCAGAGAAGGCAAAGCAGGCAGGGTTTTCCTCCCACACTAGTCACCTACGGCCTGGCACATGTACATGACTGGCTCAATGGCCCAGCTGCCGGGACTCGTGCAGAGGGTTGGTTTTATCTCACGGTCACTGTGGCAGTGCCAGATGCCTCTGCTAGTCCCTGGCTCGGTCACGTCCAGCCCTGGGCAGATGAGCAGCACCGATCCCGGCACCTTTTGGGCTGAAAGCCAGCAGCCAACGGGAGCAGGCAGCAGGCGGGCTGGAGCCGGGGCGAGGGAACAAGTCCTGATCGACCCTCCCGTCTCTGCCGGGTTTCTCGTCCCGTTGCTCTCTGCCCGTTCCCTGTGCTGCAGGCGGAGGAGGACTGGGGGAGCCCAGCCCGTGATGCCGGCATCCAGGGCCAGCGTGATCCAGGCTGGCAGATAGCAGGCCTGACCTCGGGGACCCCTCGGTTGCTCAACGCTCCTCGACTTCTGCTTTCTCCGTGACACAAAAACACGCTTGCAGCACAGGGTGGAGACATCACTTCTCTCTGGGTCATTTCCCAGCCGTTTCCCCCCACACACCCCACCCCGCCACCATCTTACCAGGTCCATTCTTCAGTGCAGGGTCCTTCTCTGCACAGGCCCTGGCACAAAGCTGAGACCCAACAGACCCCCTCAGTTACCTCCCCGAGTGCCCGTGTGTTGTCCGTGGTGGATGAGCCCATGGAGGTGCGCTGTGCCCAGCCAGGGGGGCAGCAATGGGCATTCACAGGTGACCACGGAGGCAACCAGGGACATCACACCCAGAGACCCAGTGTGAGGGTGTGAAGGACATCAGCAGTGCCAGACTGGGTCACACCAATGGTCCATCTCACCCAGCACTGTGTCCCAGACACTGGCAGGCGTGCATGCCGCACAGGGAGAGCATCGCACCAGATCTCTCTAGCGATCGATCCCCTATTCCCTGCCCTCCTGGCATCTGCCACTGCTGGGCTGGAGATGCCAGAGGAAACATCTCCAGCTGATCTGGGTGTGGCGGACCAGCACGGGATGCTCCTGCATTGAGCCACCCACCTCACTGCGCCCGACCACCTTTCAGGCTATGAGTGGCTCCCTGGGGGCGCCTCACGTCCGGCCAACCCCCAAGCCGGAAGGCAACACCTCCACCACCCAGAGTCTGGACTGATTGGGGACCTGCGTCCTCTGGGAAACACAGGCCAAGTATGCCTTGAGAATACCTGACCTACTGCAAGAACTTGGGGTGCTTCCCTTAGTGCGAAGCACAAATAGGTCTCCCTTAGTCAGCCGAACCAAGGGGACCCCAAGGCATAATCTAGACCATCTCCCAATAAGTCTCCCACACTAGGTACAAAGGAGAATTTTATTGGTTACAAGGAGTAGGTTTGCAGTCGGGTACAGGGTAGAGCAAGATCAGAGAAATCCCTTATAGCAAACAGTGGCGTGGTAGCCTTTGATCTCGCATTTGAGTTATTGCAAGCTATATATCTAGTTAAATCTCAGGTAGCTTACTCATGAGTATTACCACAGCAGGCACTGTGACTTCCTCTACACAGTGCCACGCACCACCTCTTCCCCGGCAATGCGTGGGTCCGGCACCCTGTGCTGTCGGCCAGGGGCCATGGGGGCCAATTTCCCTCTAAGCTACTGCATCCACCAGCCCTTGGCCGAGCTCCCCCCAAACCACCCGGTGCTGTGCCAAGCCCTGGGGTAGGAACGGGCGCAGCCAGGTGCCAGGAAGCAGAGGAGGTGGGAAACGAGGCCGTGTTTGCTGCTTGTCCCTCTTCTGCTTTCTGGGAGAAGAGGTGGTGCCGGCCACTGGTGGAGACAGGATGTGACCCCAGCCCGGCGTGGTCCACAGGGCCATTTCTGCGTCCTTGAGGCAGTGGGGTTGTCTACAAGCCACGAAGCAGCAGGGAGGAGCAGGCAGCAGGGAAGTGCAAGCAGCAGAAGCTCAGTAATGCCAATTCTCATGAAAAAAATCACGAGACTCCTGATTTCCAAGTCAAATTAACTCTGCTTATGATCTCCTGATCGAGAGATCAAATCTTGAGATTTTTAATTCGGGCACATGCAGAGAGGGCCAAGTGGGTAAGTCTGTGGAGGGAAGGGGCAGGGGCAGAAGGAAGGGGTGTGGTGGGGGTGCCAATCGAGCCCCCACAGTGAAGGAGGGAGTGGGGCAGTGGCTGGGGTGAATGGGGACCCGGGGCTGGGACAAGTCATGCCACAGAGCCATGGATGGCTCTGCGTGTGTGTGTGTGTGTGTGTGTGTGTGTGTGTGTGTCCCTCACTCCCAAGCCACAGCCAAATTTCTTGATTTTTAAGAGTCTGTCTCATGATTTTTGACACGGTGGGGGTGGCAGTACTGGAAGCTGCGGGGAGGTGCCCGGCCTCCCCTCTCTACCCCGCGTGTCCTTTGCCTGTGGGGAATGAGAGGGGGCCCCAGGGCCCATCCAGGAGTCAGACTCAGGCTATCCTCTCATGGCCTTTTCTTCCACCATGCGCGATGTGGGAGAACCGGCCACGCCTGGTCCCAGATCCACGACGTCTCTTATGGCCATTCCACCATCCAGACCTCCTGACGCGGACGTGCTAGAGAGGAAGGGACACGTGAATGTCGCTGCCGCGGGGGCTGCTGCAAACTCCCAGGTCCTGCGACCACGATCCGTGGCTGGTGACTCCTCCAGGAGAGCATCTCCTCCCGCAGGAGCATGGGACCGGCCCAGGGGCCACAGCCCAGCCTGGCCTGCTCCCCAGCCCCCCAGACCAGCACCGTGGAGCTCAGTGCAGGGGATGCAAGACCCCTGAGCAGGGCTGAGCTGCGGCCCTTAGTGACCCCTGTGCAGACACTTGCTCTTAGCCCCAGGGCGCTGCATGCCCCGTCCCCAGCACCGGGCTGTGGCCAGGCTCAGACAACCCTGCGCGGAGCCGTGGATGGACAGTGCAGCCCTGCCCATCCCTTCCTGTCCCTGGGCGCCCGAGCGGGGACCTACCTGCCCCGGGGTCACTGTGTCGCAGGTGATGATGACGGTGGGAGACTCCCGCTCCGTGGAGAACAGCCCCGTGCAGTTCCTGACCAGCTGCGGGGGAGAGAGCAGGTCCCGGGGGCATCAGCGCAGGGGGATGGGAGGATAGAGAGGGTGGGGGGTACAAACCTGGCCCGTGGGCCGTGTCTAGACCGTGGTGACAGAGCCCACGGAGGGGAGGATGGGACAACAGGCAAAGTTGGATGGAGAAGTGGGGCTGGAAGGGACCTCCAGACATCGTCTAGTCCAAGACTGGCCTGAGGCAGGATCAGCCGTGTCCCAGGGGCTGGGTGTGTGGGGTAGGGACGGTCCCGGGGGCTCACAGCAGCTGGGTGTTCAGGAAGGGGGGGACACTTACCCCGTTGTCCTTGAAGTCACACTCGCTGGCTGGGGGGTCCTGGGCCCGTGGGCACACAGTCTCACGGACCACGAACCGCAGCTCCTGACGGGGCTTGGACGTCATGTCCTGAGGGGCATTGGAGCAAAGACCGGACTGAGCTCCCCCGGGACAGCACACAGGTCTGGTCTGCCCCAGCCCGCACCCAGCACCAGCCCTGCCCCTTCCCCAGAGATGAAGCGCCCCGCGCCAGGCTGCGCCCGGGCACCTGCCTCTCCATGCCCGGGGCAGCAGGGCAGCAGCTGCGGAGCTGGCACCTGCCAGGTGTGACCAAAGCGCCTTGCCTTGGCATTCACCTAACAAGAGCTGCCCCGAGCCGGGTCTAGTCTGAAGGGCCCCAGAGCAGAGTCTGGCCCCATGTCCAGAAGGAGAAACACAGCGGGTGAGAAGTGCCCGTGTGATGAGGAGTCTGCGATGCAGAGAAGGCGACGCCAGGGCAGCAGGAGCCACGGTGACCTCCACGCAACGACTGCCGAGTCCCTTTCCAGCTCCCCAGACTGGTCTTATCCAGGGGTCACAAGGACGGGCTGTGGAGTCTGGTCCCTGCACTTGCAAGGGATCATGAGCCACCTGCGTGGGGGACCCTGCAGGGCAGCGTGACAAATCCAGCGCTCGCCGGATTCACATGAACACGCGCCACGAGTCTGGCATGAGACCTGGGCCAACGCGCAGCTGAGTGACGGGTGACTGCGACTGCTGATCTACATATGCAGATTCATGCAAATCCCAAGCCCTTGTTATTTTTGCACAGCTGTCCATGGACAGGCATGAGCTGAGGGAGGGCACGTTGCACCCAAAGGCTTGTCTGCCGTCTCTGCCAGTGACACAGGAGGCAGTGCGGGTTGGCACTTTGTAGACTAACTCATTCAGACAGTCTCTAAAGTGCCCCCTGCCCTGCCTTCTGCCAGACTCCAGATTAACATGAATTATAACCTCTCTCCCAATTGTACAGTTGGTTTTAAAAAAGTCGTCACCAAAAACCACTCCCCATCCCCTACTTTTGCTTCTTGTATCAGTGAATCACAGATCATGGGGGTTGGACGGGACCTCAGGGGTCCCCTAGTGCAACCCCCTGCTCCAAGCAGGACCAGCCCCAACTACACCATCCCAGCCCTTCCCTGGACCATCACACTTGGGACCCTCCAACCCTCTTACACAGACAGCCAGACACCTTTTGGCTGTATTGTCTATTTTTTCTCCTCCTTAACACATCCAAAGGACAAGCTGGGTTGGCAACCTCCCTTGGAGACTGGACGGGAAGCCAGCTCCGTGTGCTGACCCTCAGCACTGTGGGAGGGAAGAGTTGCTTTCGAGGTGCTTGGAGCTGGATGTCCTGAATTGGACGTCCCCAGGCTAATCCTGATGCCTGCCTTGCACTGCGGTCAGTCGCCAGGACAGGAGCGAGCTGGTGACTTACCCATGCAGGCTGGGGGTCAGCGCGGAGGAGCCGGAAGGCATGGTCTATGCCCGGCCCCTGGTTGTAGAAGTCGACAGCCAAGGACACGGCCTCTTCATAGCTCAGCGTCTTGTGCTGGGAACCCAAGGCTACAGCCACGAAGGTGGCCAAGCCCAGCAGCACCCCCCAGCCCCAGCGCCCCATCCCTGGGTGTCTCTGCTGCACGGTGCCTTGTGGTTTCTCGCTGCACCCCAAGCTGACGGGCGACTCGCTGTGTCTGCGCTGGAGCTCCCCGGGGGCTGAGGTTTTCCTGCTCTTTACAGGAACTGGCCCTTGCTCAATCTGCCCGGGGAAGGCAGGGCGGAGCAGGGTGGGGATGTTTAGTGCTTCATGCCTTGTTCATTTGCCATGTGCAAAGGAGGGAGGATGTGCCCCTGGCACCTCTGCGCCCTGTGGTTCATTTACTGCCGGGCCTCGAGACCGTTGCATTTTGCACATTCATGGAAAACGCCATGCGTGGCATCACAGCTGAGTGCGAGGAGTGGGGGCCATGGAGGAAATCAGCTGGTGACTCTTGTCTGCTTGTGCAGCACCCGACACAACAGGATGCCACAGCTAGCATTGCAAAGAGCAGCTGGCCAGGCCAGAGCCCTGCCGTGTGAGGCACGGGCCCTCCTTTCTCTTCGGGTCGTGCTGAGAGTCGACTGACATCGTGGTTTGGACAGGCCTGACCCTGCCTTGGGCAGTGGTTGGACTAGATGTGACTTCAGTGCCAAGGGTGTAAACTCGCTGGAGCAGTCCAAATCACGTATAGACTTCATCCTCCTCCCTAAAGGGTGGAAGGTAGCCAAGGCTGAATCCACGCCGGTCTGCTTCTCAGACCACTGCCTCCTAACAGTGAAAGCAGAAATGGGAGGGCTGGCCCGCAGCGGTGTGCACACGTGTCCCTCTGCACATAGGACCTGCGTGCACACGTACTGCCTGGCGAGGAGACCGGGCTGCGGCTGGGGCTGTCCCACCACGCTCTGTGCCCCAGGCCAGGCTGCGCCCACTCACTTGTGTCCTGCTACCGCCGCCACCTCCAAATTCAAACACTGGGCTGCGCCCACGTGCATGCATATCTGGACAGGGGTGGCTTCCCCGCCCCTGTACCCCCTGTCCCTTCCCCACCCCAGAGCCCACTGCCCATCCCCACCCAAAGGGACTCCCCCCCGGACACTCCCCTCTTCTCCTCCCCCTGCCCATCTGCCATGGACCCCTTCTGCGGGTTGGACACGCAGGAACAACGTTTCTTCCCTGAAGAGCAGCCCGAGGGAGGGGAACAGTCACTGCTGCCCACCTGAGGGGAAAGGGGCAGGGAGCGAGAACTCTGCAAGGATGGCAAAAGAGCAGCGTGGCTGAGCAGGGATCTCTTCAGGAAACTAAATCACAAAAAGGAAAGCTTATAAGAAGTAGAAACTTGGACAAATAACTAGGGGAGAATATAAGCATGTTGCTCGGGCATGCAGGGATGAGGTCAGGAAGGCCAAAGTGCAATTGGGGTTGCAGCTAGCAAGGGACATGAAGGGGAGCAAGAAGGGTTTCTACAAGCAAGTCGGTAGCAGGCGGAGGGTCAGGGAAAGTGTGGGTTCCTTACTGAATGGGGCAGGCGACCTGGTGACATTGCCAGTGCAGCAGGACTGAGGGGCAAAGACTGCCTGGCCCAGATGGGCAGGAGTGAAGGAGGAGGCTAAGGAACCCACTTGGTCTGTTACCTCCACAGGTACGGACCAGTCTGGCACTGGGCTTAGCCACACCGCCCTGCCACGGCCCAGGTAACGGGTGCTTGCAGGAACGGGTTCTTTGCAGAGGCTGCCCACACTGTGCCCACCCAGGACAGGCAGCAATGGGCATTTGCAGGTGACCACAGAGGCAACCAGAGACATTGCACCCAGAGACCTAGTGCATCTGAAGGACAGCGGCAGTGCTCATAGGCGGCAGAAGGCCGGGGCTCATCCCCCACTAAACGCAGGGCAGTGAGAAGGACCACAGGGCAATCGGGGCACGGGCTCCAAGCAGCTAGGGAGGGGCGTGCGTAGACACAGACAAGCAGTGAGCGCTGCCCACCACAGCAAGTAAGTCTGTCATGGGGAAGGAGCATGGGGGGCAGATTGAGGCCCCCACAGTGAGGGAGGGAGTGTGCTTGGAGCCAAGGCAGCTCATCCGGCGGCGCAGGGGGGCTCCCGCTGCTGCACACACCCCAGGGGAGGCCCGGGTGGCACGTGCCCCCTAGATCTGTGTGTGGGGCAGAGGTAGGTTGCTGCTGTGGGCTGGGCTCTGCACCCTGCTGCCACCGCCCAGGGAGCCCCTTACCCTTAGCAGCACCCTGACCAAGAAGGCATCAACACAATGGTCACCATAAGGAGAGAAAGAGAGCCATCCGGTCTCCTGCGGCCACAGGCAATGGTCTGTCACCAGTCTCGTTGTAGCCCCCCTGCAGGTGTTTGCAGACTGTGATCAAACCCCCTCTCAGTATCCTCCTCTCCAGACCGGTAACCCCAGTCCTCTCCCTCTCAGGCCGCTGGGCAAGCAGAGATCTGCAGCATCTGAGACATTGCCTGGGGCAGAACCACGTTGCGTCCGTTTGCCCGTGTTGGGAAACCATGTCTGACAAGCAGAGGGAGCTGGGAACGAAAAGGCTTTTCCTTTGGAAAATGCAGATTCACCAAACCGAAACTTTGAGCAGAAAAAACCATGTGAAGGAGACTTTCAAGGAGAGGTTTCTTGGGCACAGGGCACAACTGATGGTCAGCACCAGGGAGGGGGACAGTCCACTGCAGCTTGGTGCTGGGGATGCCACCTGTGTGGGACAGGCTGGGGTTCAAGGCCTGTTATGCCGTCCTGCCTCCCAGGCCAGTGTCCAGTGGGAGCGTGTTGCAGTCTATGTGCCCGGTCTGTGTGCCCAGCATGTCGCTGCCTATGTGCCCGGTCTGTGTGCCCAGTCTGTGTGCCCAGCGTGTCTCCGTCTGTGTCTGGAGCTCTTCCACGTGCATTGCCTCTGGCAGCTCCCGTCCTTCCCCTGGTTCACCAGCTTTCACATCTCTCTGGGACTCCTCCAGCAACTCGTCTGCTCAAGAAAAATTAACATGACATGTAGAGTCTGACCATTTGGCCAGGATCTCATCCCATCACAGGTCCCCGCTCACATTTAATCTGTATCATGCTAGTACCTTCGTGAAACCGCCCCGAAGTATCACGTCAAATGCCTGATAGAAATGTGCTCTAGCGTCTGTTTGATCTTTGTCCATCAGCCTTGTCACCTTCTTCAAAAGGATCTCGTGTGAGTTTGAAAACCTCTGTGTCTAGAGAGACCCCCCCATCATCGGTCGTTATTACTCCCCCAATTCATACTCCATAGCCATCAGGATCTTTGGGCCAGGACCCTTCTCTGCCCATCAGGACGATCATTGCATCCCTCTTCCCCCTAGCACAGGCTGAGCTTTCTCCCAACCTGGGTCTTCCTCACAGGACCCAGAGCCGCTGGACATCCGATGTAATCCTCCAGGCATGTCACCGGCAACTCTTGCATGAATTAGAGATAAGCTCTCTGGACCCACTGATGAACCCTGTCTAACATGGGTCGCTGCTGGTAAGCCCGCTCTGGAGTGACCGGGGCCAAGGACAGTGTTTCACCACCACCCTGGGGTCCAATTTGCACTCCTAGTTGCTCCCAAACCCA